GTTGAACATAATAGGACATTGATGCACATAAATTTATTTTTCAGATCAGGTTAAAATGGCTAGCTGCATGGCAGTCATTTTGTTGTAAAGAATGCTGTTCCAGATTCATATATTTGACATGTCTGGACTGATCAAGTTTAAACTTCACACGTACACATTACATTATACATATCTAATATTACATAATGTTTCATGAGTCAATTCAAGATGGCTGAATGGTAGCCATTTTACGGTCAACAGTGTATTAAATCACACATTTTGGATCTCAGTCATGCATGGACAGATTCTATACAAACTAAGTACATATGTTGAACATAATTGGACCTTGATGTACGTCTTTTTATTTCCTGGATCAGATTCAAAATGGCTGACTGCATGATTACCGGTACCAGTTCTGTATTCGTAAATCTGACATGCCTGGACCAATCAAGTTCAAACTTAACATACCGGTACATCAGACATATGTACATGCATTTTTGTCATCATCAAATTCATAATAGCTAATTGGCTTTCATCTACCAGGGTAATTCTTTAAGGGAGTACATTTCCATGGAGCCATATCTTATACACACTTCACACATACACCAAACATCTGGTCATTTATCTCATGTCCATAAAAAACATTGACAATGGATTTTTAAATTGGTTTGCATTGATATGATGCAGAAAAAAACAAGCTGAAAACATTTGCATGTAGTGTATACCGGTAATACTTTATTTCAACTGGAATTAATTTTCGCTGAATAGACTTTTCAGGTTTTTTGTATGGAATTTATTTTCACTGATTTTTGACGATTTGAATGTAAAATATAGGGAAAAAAGTATATTCACAGGATTTTATTTTCACTGAATCATTCTTTCAGCGAAAATAGAGAAAATTAATTCCAAGCAAAAATAAAGTATTTCACAGTATTTGCATTTGCTCAAATTAGCTAATTAAACTGCATAGACCATATACTATTATTAGTAATTTATCTACACAAACAGTATGCATTAACTTAATTACCAATTGTAAGTACTAAGTATATATAACGAGAATTTATAAAAAAATATGCAAATTAGTTTATCAATATGCGTATAACATTAACAACCTTATTTGTCTGCATGAACAGTAATCATACAAATTTCAATCCATTTGAGTGAACTTGTATAGATAGACAAATAACATGCTAAAAGCAATTAATTATGCAAATTAGTTAATAAATATTCACAGATTAGAAGCTATTACCAGACACTCATCCCAAACCAACTATGTACAAAGTTTCATTTATGTAAACTGTTGTGAAGATATATACACAGAACATGCTAAAACCATTTAATTTTGTGAATTAGCGAATTAAAATGTAAATTGATACAGCCATGAAACTTACTCAAGCAGTCCAGTGTAGCATGTTTCAATCCATTCAGTGTGCAAATTGTTGGACAGTAAACAAACATGCTTGAAAGTAGATAATTAGTATGCAAATTAGCTAATTGATATGTACTGTTTCCCAAGCGTTTTGGGTCCAAATAGAGTTTCAGGCTTTGTATAGGGAAGAAATGTGTTAACTCCATATTGAAGTTTGCAAAGAGTTGTGGGATAGAAAGTTGAACTGTAGAGGGCGTTTGCTTGAGGTGGGGGCTCAAATCTCTTCCATAAAGCCCTATGTTAAAAACAGCTTTTTACCTCTTCCTGTTTTCAACCAAAGCGTTGGATTTGTTTTCAATGTATGGTTATATTGTTGGACTTTCCATTAATTTTAATGGGAAGATTGTTTTGAAGGTTTGTATTTATATTTTTTACTGTTTTTGGCTGCAAGCTGTCTAACCGTAAGAACAGGAGTGATAGGTAAGTGTATCTGATTTGTGATTTCTATTCATTTATTCATTCTTATTTATGTTTTATTATTTTCTGTGTCACAGAAAAAAACTTGTCTATTCAAAAATTTTGATTGAATTTAAATCAGATTTAGAAATCTTATAGCCATGGG